CCGATCTTTTGACCTGTCACGGCACCAGCTCATCCATACAAAGAAGAAACCACATCAGTGCTCAGAGTGCAGGAAGTGCTTCCTTCATGCCTCCAAACTGGCCCAGCACCAGTGCATCCCTATCCGGGATTGTCCATAACTGTATGCAGTACTGGAAGGGCTTGGGGATGCATACCTGCTTAGCACTTACCAGTGTCTGCAACCAGGGAAGCAAGGATGGCCTCCCAGGTTAGATGCAGGTGAGGGGTTAAAAGAAACACCTCAGGCAGAGACCAACCCAGATGCTGGGGGAACTTGTGAGGAGATGATCTTTGCAGCAGCCGTGGAGCCTGTTCTATCCCCATCCTCTAAAAGCAGCCAGTGCTCCTAGCGGGAGAAGTGCCTTCACAATAGGCCCCTTCCCCAAGACAGCTGGCTCCAAATGACATCCAGGGACTGTCTTTGGTCGACTCCCAGCTTCCACTTCCAGCCTGGTACCAGGTTTCTTGTATGTGAGGCTGTAGAGTTGTAGGAAGGAGGACATTTATTTCTAGGGAACCATTCCTTTCCACCCTGACCATACCTTTCCTCCCCATGGCATCACCCCTCTCCCAGGCCTGCACATGTCCATTGGGGTCTGTAGGAAACTGCTACTGCCACCCCATAAGCCCAGTTTCTCAGGTTTTGCTTCTCAGCCCCTCATCAGAACTGCACCGCCAAGTGTGAGCTGCTCCCATCCTCTGCCCTCCCCGCCCCCCCTGTGCTGTGCCTTCCTTCTCTTCATGCCATTCTCTGAGTGGGGACAATATAAAAGCATCCTCTGAGTGAAATGCAGCATGTTGTAATCTCCCTTTGGGAATACTGAGGCTTCCCTGCTACTGCCAAAGCCCTTTGGCTCCATGAGTGTCCTGCAGGAGCTACTACAAGTGGTTAGTAACCCATCCCACAGAAAAGGCCCTTGGGGTTACAATGGGCTATTGGCTGAATATGAGCTAGCAGCGTGCCTTAGTTGTCAAGAAGTGTAATGGCTTGCAGGTCAAGGGAAGTGATTAGCCCTCTCTATTCAGCACTGGTGAGACCACATCTGGAGTACTGTGTCTAGCTTTGGGCCCCCCATTACAGAAAGGATGTGGATAAATTGGAGAGAGTCCAGTGGAGGGCAGCAACAATGCTGAGGGGGCTAGGGGACATGACTTCTGAGGACATGCTGAGGGAACTGGCCTTGTTTAGTCTGGAGAAGACCGGCAAGGGATTTAATAGCAGTGTTCAACTGCCTGAAGAGGGGTATGAAAGAGGATGGAGCTAGACTGTTCTCAGTGGTGGCAGATGACAGAACAAGGAGCAATGGTCTCAAGTTGTGTCAAGGGAAGTTTAGGTTAGATATTAGGAAGAATTCTCTCAGTTGGAGGGTAGAAAAACACTGGAACAGGTTACCCAGAGAGGTGGTGGAAACTTCATCC